TGTCAAATAGATTCAACGACATTTCGATTCCACTCAAACGAGAACCATCAGGCCAATGGCAAGACTACCCAGGGCAGCGAGACCAGGCACCACGAGGGTGGAGCCAGGGTTGGTATGACGGGCCGTGGTGGGTTTAGGGCTCTCTTCACCGTCGTCATTGCTGCTGGTGCCGGTGCTGGTGCTGCTGCCGCTGCCACTGTCGCTGCCACTGCTGTGGCCGCGACTGCTGCTCGACTCCTCATTGGGATCGACGAGACCAACGTAGTCGCCAGTGCCAGTAGCCTTGGGACGCGCGCTAGTCGAGATGCCGGCGTCGGAAGAACTAGCCGCGGCGGAGGAGGATGCGGCGGCCGTGGGCTTGATGAGAGGGATGCTTGTCGTCTCGGCGGGATGGGCATCCGCGCTGGACAGGACAGTGGGAACGTCGTCGCTCTCGGTTGTTTCGGGGGTGTTGGTCTCGGTGGCGGAGATGTCGTTATCGACGACGGGGGTGGCCATACTGGCCGTTTCGGTTGGGGTAGTAGTTATTTCGCTGCTGGTGGATGTCTCGTGTGCTCTTCTGTATAGGCTTGCGTTGGCGCTGGCGGCAAGGGCCAGGCCGGCGATGAGCTGAGCGGAGACACGCATTGTGATTTGAGATGTATGAAGATGGAGAATAGATGTAAGATAGTCTGGAAGATGAAGCACAGGTGCTAGAAGGATTTGAGGCAAGGTGCAAGTTGCGAAGTTCAAGGAAATCAGTTGAGGTTATCACGGACACAATATATGCTTGACGGGTTTGATAGCAGGTGTTGAACGATGTCAAGAGGGAGCTCGGAATGGAGTCTCGGGGTTTTATAGACCAACGAGGACACTCAATGCGGCTGTCATTGAGTGTATTCAATGATCAAGAGCGTCCATATTCGTCCTCGTTCAATCAGAGTGCCATCCCTGAATAGGTTGATCGTCAACGAGGGGAGGAAAGCAAAGTACTGCATCTGGAAGAGCACGCGACAGAGCAAACACATGCTTGTCCATTTTCAGAAGCTGCCTAGGCGCCATCATCCCTTGTAAAACGCTGCCTGCAGAAGTCTTTCCAGCTGCAGATGTTGATCGCCTCCAAAAGGAATGTTATGGCACGTGATATACGGCCTCAGGGCTTCTTTAACCCTATATTCCTCGTCGCCGGAAACGGAAAACAGTGTTGCCGACAAACAAACGAACGGATTCAGTTCACTCATGGCAACTCCTTGCATTAAGCCTTTGTTTCCGGTACAACTTGTCCAAAGAAGCACTCCCAGCCAGAAAGACCAGAATATGCTCTGGACTGCGTCTTTTACTTCCCCGCAATGAGCACCTATCGCCTGGCTGAGCACATACGCATCTCACTCAGAGAATTGACTCGTGGTTTAAGAATTTCATGCAGCCGACAGAGTCGAAAGAGGACTGGAGGCGATTGTACTGCAATCGTATGGTTAGAGTATCGCAGCGACCATGATAGGCTGGCGGTATGAGACCCCGAGTATATTGCATATGCTGGATTGTATGGCCGACGCATATTATTGTACCAGCCTAGACACATAAGACGCTTTTACATTGTTGATGAACATGTTGCTGCATGGTTCCGAAACACTGCTCAGCTCTAGCCATTTATCATCAATGGACTTGTTGAAAGCCAGCCTCATGGGTCCGAAGAGTTCCTGTCCACTCTCCACTCATGAACACCATAACATGTTCTGGTGATATAGACCTGAGCATGTCTAAATCAAGCCTGCTGCATCTGATATATAGGATGTGTAATTGAGCTGCAATAGACACCACTTATCTATCTGTCCATCAGCTCATTCTCATTCTCCATATTGATATGAACGAGGAGTGTTGATGTTGATATGGAGAGAGTGGAGAGCTGGGAAGAGGCGCTAAGCTGGATTAGGTAAGGCAAGGCTGATCCACTTCGACTTTATTATGGAGGAACCACTTGAGGAGGGATTATCGTCTACGGAGTATGCTGGTTGCCATCAGCAAACCCTCATTTCTGCAATTTCTACTCTGTGTATGTCATGACAGAGGACCTACACGGCCATGGCTCCGAGACCTGATCTTCTCAGCCCCTCCCTCCTCTCCCCCGGTGATTACGACGATGACGCCTCCTCCTTGCGATCCGTATCAGAGCAGGACTCTGACTCCGATGACGACGAATTCCTTCGCAAGTCTCGCACTACACTAGAGCTGGCCGAACATGATCGTGCAGTTTTGGAAGAGGAGGAAGAGATGGAGAAGCTGTTGGTCAGAAGCGGGCCAACTCATGGTCTGCGACGGATCTTCAGCCCGAACGGCAGCAGCGTCAAGATCGGGAAATATGAGCGGAATCGGGACCGAAGGAGGAAGCGCCATGATGAGCGCAGACGGCGTCGTCGTAGTGCGGCAGGAGAAAATGGAGAGCTAATGTACGAGATGGAAGAGGGCTATCGAGAGTCCGAATCCTCGCTCCTGAGCGGCTCGTCGTCGGAACTAGACCAGCGATTGGAGAAGCAGTACGCGGATGTTCGGGTAAGGGTGGGCTCTTGATTCGTTTCTGTTCAATTCAGACTGCTAATCCACTGTAGCCGCGGCGAATTTCTTGGACGAAGTTAATACTGGTCTTTGCGGCGGTCTTGGTTTTGTTCCTAATATTCCTGCTGGGTGCATACAAAGCCTCAAGTGGCTTTCGGGCTTCAGACTCTCACCAGCGTCTACTTTCCAACGGCACCGCTCTCTTTGGTCCTACTACCATATTAGTTTCTCTCGATGGATTCCGGGCCGACTTTCTCGATCGTGGTCTCACGCCGACGCTGAACGCGCTTATAGCTGAAGGCGTTTCGCCACAGTATATGCTCCCCAGCTTCCCCAGCGTCACATTTCCCAACCACTTCACTCTGGTCACGGGTTTATATCCAGAAAGTCACGGTATCGTGAGCAATACTTTCTGGGACCCTTCCCTAAAGGAAAATTTCCACTACACCAACCAGTCAATCAGCATGCAGCCTAAGTGGTGGAATGCCGAACCCCTGTGGATGACCGCCGAAAGACACGGCCTTAAAACCGGGATTCATATGTGGCCTGGCTCCGAAGCGCACATTGGAGGAGTAGACCCAACATACTTGGACAAGTACAACGGGTCAGAAGAGCTCCCGCGAAAAGTCGATCGGATCCTGGAGCTGCTCGACTTGCCAGGCGCGGAAGAAGAGTCCTTGATTGTCCCCGAGCGACCGCAGTTCATCGCTGCATATGTTCCCAATGTTGACGCAGATGGACACAAGTTTGGCCCCAACAGTACTGAGATCCGAAATACAATCGCGCAGGTTGACAGCATGTTGGCCGACCTGATGTCGGCCCTTCACAGCCGCAACCTGACCGATATTGTCAACCTTGTTATTGTTTCTGACCATGGTATGGCCACAACGGCTACGGAACGATTGATACAACTGGATGATTTCATTGATCCTAGTCTGGTCGATCGTATAGACGGATGGCCATTGCGCGGTATCCGGCCGAAAAAGCCTGAGGATCTTGAGACCTTGCAAAATCAGCTGGAAAACCTGACGCAACAATACCCACACGCAGTGGAAGTCTACACACGGGAGACAATGCCTGAGCGATATCACTTTTCCAGCAATGACCGAATTGCTCCCCTTTGGGTAATCCCTAAGACGGGGTGGGCCATCGTCGAACGACCAGACTTTGATGCTCAAGAGGCCATCCGAACTGGAAGAGTCTATCATCCAAAGGGTGTCCATGGTTACGACCATGAGCATCCTCTGATGCGCGCCATCTTCATTGCTAGGGGGCCTGCGTTTCCTCATCCCCCCAACAGCCGGCTGGAAGTTTTCCGTAAGCAAATCTTCTCCTACAGCAGGAAGATCCGAGTATAAGCTAACATGGGTTGCAGAGAATATCAATGTATATAACTTGGTCTGCGATTCTCTGGGAATTGATCCGCTTCCCAACAACGGAACGCTGCGCCTTCCTCTACAGCCAGTGGGCCTTCATTCTGATCAAGATGCGCCGGCTGTCGACAAGCCTGCCGACCCTCCAATCAGCAGCGCTAGCGTGAGCGTAATCCCCTCGCAGACCATGACACCGGCCTCAACTCCATCAGAGGTGTCGTCAACAGCTTTTATCCAGCCAACTTCACCGTCTGAAAATGAGTCCAGCTCGGAGCCGCAAAACGAACCGGAAAGCGACGACGAGCAGGGCCCTACTTGGTGGGGAACCCTCTGGAGCAAAGTTGAGGAGCTCAAGGAATGGGCTACTGATATAATCGAGACCGTCAAGGACAATATCGTGTAAATTTGGATAGGCGGGGCGATGTTACGAGATGACGTCGATGTCTCATTTAGTGGAGCGTTCCATGTTGATAGAGCCGACTATTGTCGGAGTAGTAATCTAGATAGATACCCCTTTGCTTGTTAGATGAATGCATATCCAACAACCATAGAAGCATGAGTAAATACTAACCCATCAACCATGGAGCAGTGGCTGGCCAAACCAAGCCCATTTTGGAACCCCGATCGCTAGCTTTTGCACTTTGCTCACTATAAATGTGGGCCATCTCAGATCAGCTGTGGACCTGCGGCAAACTGATGCGGCGCATCTCGATCGTTGAATGGCTCCGCAGGACTGAGTCAGTCCAGCACAGTGCCACCCGAGTTTTGCCCAACTTGATCTCCGACAAGGGTCCCACCTAGCTTCTTATTCATTTGATTGGAGTCATATGCGCGGTACAGTCAGTTAAATGACGCCGCAGTGACACCGGCCTTTCTGCATGGGGCTTACGACCATGAGGCTCTTGCTGTGGGCCCAGGCTGGCCTTGTTGATGCCTATTGTTTCCGCTGTGCAACATGCGCGCGGACCTACAAGGCTACCGGCATATAAAGGCCTGAGAAATCGTATATAATGAGCGATGAAGACAGCTGGACTTCTTCCTCTTCGTCATTGATTTCTGACTGTCATCGATATCGCGTCCACGGCTACGCCGAACATGGCGTCGTATTTGGACCACAATATCAGCAATAATAGCAGAAATGCCACCACCATCGACACGGCTGTCCTGGACGCCTTTATACCGGGCTACTCTGTCCTCTCTCGCTTTCTGGTCTCGTACCTCCAGATCGATCTATCGTACTACCTGCCCTTCCTTGTGATGGCGGCTGCAGCGACCGCCTCCCTGCGCTACAGTATTAAAAGAATTATCCGTCTACTGGGGGAACACTTCACCTCGACGGCGGAGATCCGTCTCGACGACGAGATTTATAATTATCTCATGTTCTGGATGGCGCAGCAGCCGTTCACGAAGCGGACGACGCATTTCGTCGCGGGGACGAAGATCAGCAGCGGGATGCGGTACTGGGATTCCGATAACGGCGAGGGGTCAGACGACGAGGATTTCTGCGAGGACGACGACAGCGGCAGCGGGGACAACAGCGACATGCTGGCCAACTTCGATCGATACTGGAAAAAGGTCATCAGCAAGGACAAGTACCGCACGCTGCGGTTCACGCCCGCCGAAGGCACGCATTACTTCTGGTACAATGGGCGCCCGCTGGCGTTCATCCGGGAGCGGGAGGAGAACAACGGCGGCATGAGTCTGCGGTGGGTGCCGGAGCGGCTGTACCTGTCGTGTCTGGGAAGGGACCCCAGCATCCTCAAGGAGCTGCTGGCGGATGCGCAGCGGGCGTATGTGGCGCGCGACGGCAACCGGACGATCATCTACCGCGGGCAGAAGAGCGGGGTGGACGACTTCGACTGGGTGCGGTGTATGGCGCGGCCACCGCGGCCGCTGTCGACGGTTGTGCTGGACGAGGCGCAGAAGCAGGCGTTCATCGACGATATCAAGGAGTATCTGCATCCGAGGACGAGGCGGTGGTATTCGAATCGCGGCATCCCGTACCGCCGGGGGTACCTGCTGCATGGCCCGCCGGGCACGGGCAAGACGAGTCTGTGTTTTGCAGCGAGTGGGCTGCTGGGCTTGACACTGTACCTGCTCAGTCTGAACTCGAAGAGCCTCGATGAGGATAGTCTGATGTCGCTGTTTTCGGCGCTGCCGCGGCGGTGTATCGTGCTGCTCGAGGACATTGATAGCGCTGGGATCACGCAGAAGCGCGCAGAGGATGATTCCGCGGCGTCCGCTGTGCTCGTGGAAAAGGACAAGTCCAGCGCCGAGGAGAAGGAGCCCGAAACGAAGGCGAACAAGGGTGTTTCGCTCTCGGGTCTGCTCAATGTCATCGACGGAGTCGCCGCCAGCGAGGGCCGGATCCTCATCATGACCACCAACCATGCGGAGAAGCTGGATCCGGCTCTTCTCCGGCCAGGTCGCGTTGATATGACTATTGCTTTTGGATACGCTGACCGCGATGCAATGCGCGAGCTCTTCTCGGCCATCTATAGCATGCTCGAGGGCGATGCGCGGACATCCAAGATGAAGTCAGTTAGGAAGGCTCCATGGCCAAGGGAGAAACATGTCGACGCTACAGTCACTCAGCGGAAGCGGCAGCACCTGTCAAAAGAAACGATCGCAGAACTGGCATCCGAGTTTGCATCACGCATCCCGGAGGGTGAATTCACCGCTGCTGAGATCCAGGGTCATCTACTCAACTATAAGAATGAGCCGGAGGCTGCTATCAACGCGGTCGAGGAATGGGTGAGGAGTGTTCGAGCCAAACGGAAGGAGAAGGAACAGTCCAAATGATAGAGATCAGTGATACCCACAACATTATGTGCCCTGAAATTGATACGTTAAACAGATTGAAGCATCATCATGCAATCTGTGAAAGTCCACTCAACTGACAAACAATTGCTAAAATCAAGAAAATGGCTAGTTTACATCCAGTAATAAAGTCTTAATACTGATATGAATGTGATCATCACAAAGGCGGAAAATATGTAGTAATATGTACAAACAGCTCAGTGGCAGAAAATATTGCAAGAAGAGTATCCATCCACAAGACGCCTCCCAACCCGATCAGTCAATCATAGAAGTGTAACCTGATCGCCATTGATGGCAAGGTTCGCAGCATATGTACACCGCTTGTTAGGCTCACAGAACCCATGGAAGAGCATCTTGTCACCACATCCACAGACGGTACCCCCACCAGGTGAAGTCAGTCCATAGTCACCGGTCTTGAATAGCTTCTGACCAGTCTTGGCATACGGGCCTGTGATCGATTTCGAGGTGGCCCATCGCACATCGTACTTGGGGTCCGTAAAACAGTGGGTAGAATAGAAAAGGAAGTACGTGTCGCCGTGCAGAATCAGATTGGGAGCTTCGACCAAAGGTCCGTCGGTATCGTCACGGTCAAGTATCGGAACGGCATCGCCAAGCGGCGTAAAGCCGTCGTCTGCCACTCTCTGCAGAAGAATCGGCGTAGATACCAGAGGAGGAACGCCGTTGTTGCAGTCTCCACCATGACCGATGCTATTGCCGTCTACTTTGAAGACAACGTAGCGGCTACCATCTTTGTCGAGGAATCCCGCCGGGTCAATCGAGCCTCCCTGATCCAGCCGGCATGATAATGGCGTCTCGTTCGGCACATATGGTCCTCTGGGGTCTTTCTCTTTAGAGACAGCGACACCCACGCAATGATGCCTCACCATCTCTTTAGCCTCGCCTGAATAGTACATAACATAATAGCCATCGTTCTGGAAGTAACTTAGTGGCTGCTGAGTAGAAATATACTAGAGAACATACCCTTCTGATAACATCTGGGGCCCAATGATCTATTTCAGTCTCCCACCCTGCAAGCGTGGGCAGTGCCTCGATGTCGAGGAGACTCCATGTGTTGAAATCTTGGGATCTAGCCACCTGGACGCGCTTGCCATTGCCGTTTGTGCTAAAGGCATACCATGCCCCTTCTGCATCCTGTACAAAACTAGGGTCCGGAAAGTCTGAATTGATTGCCATCCACGGCCCTCTGGCTCGCTTCTCAACGGGGGAAGCAAAGACAGCTGTCATGGTAAGGCCCAAGGCCCAGAATGTTGATCGAGGAAGCCACATGCTTGCTGAATGGATGGACAAAACAGAGAAAGGAGATCGTCGAGTTTAACTCCGTATCAGCGAACCTCAGGCTCACAGTCTGACGATCTCTCTTCAAATCAACGCAAGAAAGAATTCTACATTACGTCTGTAGAGCTCGGGATGCGTCATTGCTTTATACTCATTTGCTTTCGGCATTGCCGAGAAAGGGAGGACCGGCATTCCCAGACTGAATTGTCCTTCGACAACTAGCACAATTCAATTTTTCGTCGACGAAATCAGCAGTCATGCGTTATCGTCCAACGACAAGTATGCGGCAAGTGGATTCGAGCATTGAGATAGCGGCTGGGTCTGCTGGCCTGGACGTTGGGCGCATTATGCAGCATATTAGGCAAGGATCGCTGTAGAAACAACATTTGGTATCATCGGACATTTACTGGGTCATCAACATAAACAACAATAGTAAGCAATATTGAACCATGTTTGGGCCATCGTTTGGCTGAGGTGGCGCATATTTGTCGGTTCTGAACAATGACCGAAAGACTAATGCTCATACGACTGTAACACTCGGTCACTGGGTCCTCGTGGATCTTACAGAGCCAAGGAATTCCAATAAGCCCGTAATCTGTATGGTGGAGAAAGAAGTCGTGATGAGCCAGAAAAGCGAATGCAACAACCTGCAAATCCACTACCATCTGCAGACTCAAGTATATCCGAAAACGGCAATCGAAGCATTGAGTTGTGGAGAAGTCCCGATGCCAAGCTGCCGATCATTTTGTGGGGGCTGGCATCTATCAAGTCCTGACGCTTCAGTAGCAGGAATATGACCCTTCATCATGGCACACGGATGATATGCTCCGACACTGTGACCTGTGAATGGTGCATTGAGAGCGCATTATTCGCTCAGGGGAGCGACGCAAGGGCGATGCAGACCGCCCATACCCGAGAAATGTGGCTCGCTCGGGCTATTGGTTATGAGGATCGAGGCCAGCCTCTGTGGTGGACCTGGTGAGAAAGATGGTGAGCGAATAGTTACTGCAAGGAGTAACATGTGAGAGGCTCCCATGTTAGTTCGACTGGACGCACTTACAATAGGGTCCTTCCAAAGAACTTTTCCATGCTTCTGCATTTTTTTCCCCTCAAGTACTAGTGCGCTGTGGACACCAGGCCCTTGCTTATCTCCTGCCGGTCGGTATGATTCAAGCCAATCACAATAATGAAGACGTCCAAACGCCATGCATGATCTGGTGTCAGACGCTTTCGGAAAGGCAGATAAGTTGAACAAATAGTGTTGTGTTTGTCCAATATGAACACAAACGGCCGACGAAATCCATGTGCCATGTGAGACTTGGCGACTCCCAGCAGTCCAGCCGGCGAGTTCGTTCTCTACTGGAGAAGCAGAATAGTATGGTCTTGCCCGGTTCTCAAGTTGACGAATGGCACCAGACTTAGAAGAAGTGCCGTCCACCAGAATCTCACCACATGGCTAAGCGCGCAAGGATCCCTGCGTATGTAAGGTGTGCGTGTCGATTATCAACTTATTCCGGATCATTTGTGGTATCACACAGACTATTATGCTTCCTGAAGGCCTTAGCCTCGATAAAGCGCGCAGGATAAAGGCGAATTCATCAGAATCTATGCCCGATCCTGAAAAATTTCCCACAAAAATCTCCTCGGGTGAGCCCAACGGTAGTTGAAAGACAGTCGGCTATGGTGTGAATGCTTGCTGGTCATCCTCGCTAAGAACTTGTTTTGTTGCCCTTAACGGGCATCATTAGGCTGTGTTGGCAGCTTGGCAGGAAGTCATGAGTCTTAGAATGGCACTTCCATCAGAAGACCTCTACCCCACAAGTCGATGATCCACATCTAGGGCTGGGACGTTAACGCCTAAATCTTGGATGCGGGCCACCAGATTAGCTAGTACGCCTCAAGTGCCGCCGCATGGTAGCATGGATGTGCTTTTTGGCTGGACTCACTACCTTAGCTTCAACCACTGACCGGATAGGATATCATGGAAAGAGAGTCATGCGAGGCCCTTCTTCGACTTAACCCCACAGTCTCAGCGTCTAAGGTTTAAGTGACTCAATCCTAAATCATGGAGAGAAACGGGCATCATGCTCCCCCAGGTCACTGGATCATTTAGCTGCTCGCGACAAGTCACTAAACCACTCTAGATAAAGTGCAGGAGCAAACCAACATCAACCGGGGATATTCGAAGTGCTCACTGGTGCATAACAGGCCGTTGATCAGATATTTTCCATGAGGTTTAAGTGACCTGACCAGGTTGCAAGCGGATACGGTCGGATGCAGTCTGCCTCAAGACTGGCAAAGAGTCAGACCAATTAGTCTGTTCAGCGGGTTGATTCAGTAAAGGCCCTTGAACCCCCATGGAGGGGTAGTTACATGATGATGAAAGAGATGAGTAAGCAAGACAAAGCAGAAAGCAGATGTCGTGTGGCAGGTGATGCCCTCAGGTCTACCGATTAGGTAACCAGACTTACCGTGAATTTTGGCGTAGAAACAAGGAGGAGAGAAACAGGCTACGTCCTAATTGGAAAGTTTGACATTCATTGTTCAAGGCGTAGTATAATTTTCCAAGAGACGTATACACATAAGCAAGCCAGTAAAGCATAAGAGACCAAGCCCCCATAACTCCAGATATATGCACGGAAATATAACATTAGCATGCCGATTCTCATTTCACACGAGAGCCGGTGAGAAGCCATGATTCAAAGGGGGCCCCTCGCGCCTGCTTCTTCCCATTCTGCTGGGAATTGTACAGCACAGGCTCAAAGTCACAGGAGGCAGCGTACTGCCTAATCAAGTATCTCCAATAACACGACTCCGCCGCCGGAGTCAAGTATCGATCACGAAACGTCCTCACCGCGTTATCGGCGATCCGTTCCGCAATCTCAGGATTATCAATGAGGAAGCTGATCTTCCGATCGAGGTCCGAGAAGTCCCGCTCGACCTCCACGTAATTCGCTTCAGGACCAGACGCAATCAGCGCCGCATGGTGCGCCTCTCGCCAGACCAGCTTGTGCGAGACCACCACCGACCGGCAGTTGAGCAGGTACTTCCCGCGGCCGGAGAAGCTGCGCCCTTCTGTATGCGCCAGGAACATGTACCGGCAGTGTTCCTCCATCGGCAGCAGGTTGTACCGAACGTCATTCTCGTTGTCCCAGTCGATAACCCGAATGCTGGCCCAGCTTCTTCCCTGCGCTGCTTTCAGCAGCTTTCCCCTGAGCTCGGGATTCGTCGCCACGCTGCCGCGCCACACGAGCTGTTTCTTCTTCTCTTTGAATTTCATTCCGGGCATCAGGGAGCCGTCGGGGTGCACTTCGCCCTCGTCCACAGCGGCAATGCGCCTCCGGATATCCTTGTACGGGCCAACCTTGACTTCCGGCCACGCCCAGTACCCAAAGTCCGGCATGAGCCAGATACTCTCGTCCTCGTCGCGCTTGGAATACGACCACACAGGCCCGGGAACATTGCTGAAATCATCTGCCGTGAATACAAATTCGATATTAGGCAAACTGTGTCGGTCCGGAAACGACTGTAGGGCGCGATGCAGGGAGTTCAGCGTTGCCCTTGCTCGGGAGTAGGTATACGGCTGCGCCGCATAGTCGATGATATACAACTAAGCCACAGACTGTTAACAAAGATGCGTTCACGGACGAGTAGACACGCTACAGAGCACCGACTTACCTCTCCCCTCCAGATCGCGGCCCGCACCATCCCATCCTCAACTACAACATCATCCACCTCCTTAAACGTAATCCGTCTCTCCTTCCGCCGAGTCGCAGTCTTCTCAATCTCAACAAAGAGCTTTGGAAACGCTATCCGACACTGCTCATCCGAAAGACCGTGGTTATCCCCATCGCGCTGAAACTCAAACTCCCAGTTCGCGTCGGTGTGGTTTGTCGAGGTACAGTGAGGGCTTGGCGGGATCGTCTTCAGTGAATTCTTCAGGGCGTATTTAGCATAGTCGGTTGAATATTGAGATCCCAGGATAAGGAATGTGACGATGATCAGTGAGATTGCGGTGCCTGGAACCAGGAAGCGGGTCCAGGGGGATTGTCCCTGCGTCCAGCGCATTGGGATTATACTCGTACAACGAAGTAAGATATATATAAAATTGATGATAAATGTATGAGCAGACTCTGAACAGTAAAATTGAGTACTTGAGAAGCACTGGGACAATTGGCGGTCCTCGCTTATCGAAGCTCTATCGCTCTCAGTCTGATAAACAAGTGGTTGTGTTACCATGGCAACAGCCAACCCCTCCCAGCCATTCTAGACTATCTGATGCATTTATCTTCGGGAATTAAGGGAAATAATATAGACAACGGCACTATGGGCCATAGAGGCCCGGGCTTTCGTGTTATATCGACGGGTCAAATCTATGTATCAGAACAATATATCTCAAGTATGTACAAGGGGATCCGAGTGCCACAAGTAGCAGATGTATGTATTCAGGGGTATCTCAAAAGGAACCAGAAAAGAATGAAACAGAGGGTACAGTCAACGGATGACGTATCGACGCCCGATCCTCAGATCAACCAGCGAACAGAAACGTGGGAAGGAATAAACAAAGTGTTGCGGATTGGAAGGTTAGCCAGTCAACAGAACCGTAGAATGTACAAGTGACAGCATGGATCAATAGCTCCGCGTTTGGGAAGCCATGCGATCGGCTTCACATTAATTTCCGTTGGGTGAAGCACGAGAAGCGCCGTTGCTAAAGTAGCTCTCGTCAATCTTCAAAATCCATTCGACCTTTTGCGCCTCCGTCCGTGCTGCAAAAAGGTATGTGTTTTGCGTTCCATAGATTGCAAACACGTTGGGACGGCCTTTTGCAGACACTCCGCTGTCGGACCCGGAAAGCAGTCGTGCAAAGTCCGGATCGTGGTCAACACGGGAGTTGCGCAAGTTGATAGCGTTGATCTCATCGCCGTCCGGAACAGAGTATATGTGGAGATACGGTCGGCGGAGTTCAACAAAACGTCGCACCCAATGACTGTTTGTGTCATCCGGGGTCAGTAGGTAGCCGGATTTCAAGGAAGATGTGTTCTTCGGGAGTGTCTGTATCGTTGCGATGAACCGTGGCTTTAATAGTTCCTGGTCTGATACAGAACTGCCATCATCAGATGCTAGTGAAGTCTGCTTCGCGCGCGTCAGGGAAGCTGCTCCGTCTGAAGGAGGCTCTGTGTTGCTTCGAACAAGGATTGCTTCAATGGGGTCGGTCTTTGTAGCCCAAAGATCGAGATATTTCCGAAGCAGTCTCGTTTTTCGCTCATTCAATTCTTGGCTCCGTAAAGGTGTTGATCGTCCGCTTCTGACTGGCGAAGGAGCAAGGCTATTGGAACTGAGAGCCCCTTTGGCTGCATTCAGCTCAGCAAGACGCCGGCGTCGTTTGCGAGCTGCAATGTAATCCCGCACCAGTGAAACCTTTCGAGGTGACCACCTTGCCAGAAGTTCCTCACCTTTCACATAATCGTTCTGTGTGTTCATGCGCCAGAGATCAGCGGCACGTTTGGCAGAAACTGGACGGATGGCTAGAGAGAACATGCGAACTGTTGAGTGGACAATCCGAGTCGAATTGAAAAGTTGCTTGAACATGGACTGTGGCCGCACATAGGTTCGCCCTTGAATCTGAAGTGTGAGATCTACCTCGAATGGGACAGGGTCTTGTAAACGGGAGGATGTAAGATCCCAGCGAATCGTAACCTGCACGCGATACTTGTCCGCAGTAACACGATCAAGCAGCAGAGAACCATGTAAGCTCGAGTCCCATTGAGCGACCAACGTGACGTTAGATGTCCCATCAGCATTATCTTTCACGACAGGCTCCTGCACAAACTTCAATGGCACATCCGGGGTCTGAAGGTCTTGGTCGGGAATCTTGCCCCATGGATCCAGCAGTCTCACAGAACCAACGCGGATATTGGTCAGGTCGTCCCAGGGAAGACTCTCGGTGGAGTTATAGGTTAGACTGACCAGAATACGACGTTGCAGACCTTGGTGTAGTTGATACGTGCCCGCATCGAGACTGTTGCTTTGTACCACCTCGACAGGAAGGTACTCGCCAGACTCTGCCAATTCCAGGACTTGCACCCTAGCAAATACATCATGTCTCTCTTCAGAAAAGAACTCTGATTCAGCTATGCGCGGGGCCTTGCGTTTCTGGGGAGACAACTCCGCGGAATCGCGCATCTCATCCCAACTGATGAGCTTATCCAGATGCATCTGCGTCACACGTGCATAGATGCAGATCTTAAGAGCTGACGTTCTGGGACTTGAAAGAGGCAAGCTCATGCTATGCACACTTTCAAAGCGGATAGGACTCTCATCAAAGCCGCTGATCATCTGCGTGGTAGTAGCTCCTCCTTCTTCGGAGATACCCGGAACAAAGAGTTGGGCATGCACATCTGTCCCCTCCCATTCAGCAAAGCCAACCATATCACGCATGACCACATTGAATTTGAGCGTAGATGACGGCGCCTGTGCTGATGAGGGCTCCAGCGACAATCTGACTATACCCACAACGTTTTGTGTGTACGGCGAAATGACCTCGACAGAAAAGTCCTGAACCCGCGTCTCAAAGACAGCTGTGAGGGGGATGTCGGCATCACCCACAAGAGAGTACTGCGGTGAGCATGGCTCAGAAAAAGGGTTCTCAAGCCTGAAGTGCTGGATGTAGTCTGGACGATCTATGTACTGGTGCAATTGGCGCATGGCCTGGAGGCGGCGTTGAAGCTTCTCGATCGACCAAAGATGGATGACGCGCTGTTTGGAGTCAATCACCCGAACTGCAATGCAAGGCTTCTTGGCCTCCTCTAGAACGATATCCTCATCCCCCGAGATGCCGTTGAGCACAAGGTCATAAGACGATGCCATATTGTGTCCATGGTCAATGATTGCGAATTGAAAACTGACATTCTTGTCCATGATTTGGCTCATTACCTGGGCTTCTTTCAAGAGCGATGCATGCTGAAGTATCTTCTCGGCCATGCGGATGTAGTTTTGCTGGGACCAGTGCCGAAAAACTGAGGTTGCAATCCCGATTTCTCGTTCATCCAATTTTGCAAAGCCATTTTCGTATATTCTCGGCACTGGCTGGCCCATTTCTTTCATATGATTCTCAAACGCCTCTTTCTGTTTCCTTAGTTGTTCTTCGTACTCCTCTTTTGTCGTCCTGAGGGCTTCTTCCATCCTTTCTTTCTCTAAACGTAAGTCATCGGCGTCTTGATCGGAGGCCTCAGCAATTCTAAGTTTGTCTTTGAATTCCTCCTTCTGCTTGTCCAATTGCCGCTGCATGTCCTGTCGGGCAGCCTGCAATGTAAAGTCGCTTCCATTTTGTCCTTCGCCATCGTACTGCTGGCCAGGTGTCCCGGGCATGGTGATGGCGGTGTCAAGCGAAAAATTGTCAATGGTACCATTGGACATATACTTGTCGCGAACTGGGAATGAGCTCAGCGAATCTGAATCGTCCTCATTGTCTACAAGTCCTCGACGTGTTGCTCGCACTTTCTGCACGTCCTCGAACAGAGCATCCAGTTCGTCGTCCGGCATATGCGAGATGTGATCAGGACCCAGGACCGCACTGACAGCTTCACGACGAGCGTAAAACCAATCTGATTCGCCACCTCGTTGCGCTTGCATTGGCGAGTCGGCCCTACTTGAGTCTCCATCCAGCTCTGAGCCTGTCTTGCTCATAGTTCGATCGTGTGTTTTGGTCGGCGCCGGAGACCCAAGTTGACTGGTGGTGACAGAATGGCGCAGCAAACTTTGCTCAACCCTTTCAGCGCGAGCCTCTTGCGGATGGTTGAAACGAAAGATGTGGAAGTCGCCGAGGATTATCCGAAAACCGCTTTTGAGACGCTTGGGTTTGTCGATTCGCAAACCGTTAACCATGACTGCCGCACCCTCACTGGGTACAATAGTAACAACATTATCGACATTTTCAAACGTGCAATGGTTGGGAAGGATCTTGGAGCCATTCAGTCTGATCTCAACATGACTCCCTTGTTCCATGTTTCCAACGGTTGTAGTTCCAGGCTTTATATTGTAGACAAGACATTCAGCAAGTAGCGGGTCGTCGCTCAGGTTGACCAAATGGGGCATTTTCTTCGGAGTGCTCAAGCCAATGAAACCCTTCTCAATACTGATACCGAGCTCTTCAAGCGCGGCCTCACGTTCTCGATGGATTTGCTCCGTTTTCTCTAATTTTTCCTCCCAGGTCTGGTTCAAGTCCTTGTAGAGCTTTTCGCTTTGATTCAGCTGTTCCACGATCTCTGCCTTGCTGACCTTGGTGATAGTACCGTCTGCCTTCTGAATCGAAACCATCTGCTTCTCCAGAGGTGTGTCAGGTGGATAGTATTCCTCCGCAGGCATACCTCCAGCTGCTCCAGCCGTCGCGCCGCCTCCAAGCTTAGCTCTGAGCTGTGCTAACTCCTCCTTTAGTTCTCTGATCATTCTGGCATTCGGGTCTTCATTGACCACGGCATGGTTCTTGATCCGTTTTGCGGAATCGGCGTAGCGCAGAGTACTCAGAGTCTCGTCGAAGTTGATATCGGCAGGCGATATAGCCGCAATCATCGCTGTCATCGAATTACCTCCCAGAGAATCCTTCAACAACCACGTCAGGATGGAATCTCGGTATGGGACCATTGAAGCATTCTTCTTTTTGCCAGAGGTAACGTCTGCGAGAGCTGCAATGACACGACCGAGAGTTGATAACGAACGGTTGATTTCCGCTCCTTCTTTCAAGCGGGCGCCAGTGGCCCCTGTAGAATTTGCTCTCTCTGAACCGGCAAGATCAACCAGACTGATTCTTGACACCTTCTCTGTATCCATCGAGGTCTCGGCATCGTGGCGTTTCTGCGTCAAGGTCAGGGTGAAAACGGCATGCGATCGACTAGAGGTCTCGTTCATGTTCGTGGCGGCCACTGTTCTAGCTTTGTTACCCTCGTCCATCAGGTGGTCAATCTCCTCGAAAGAGCGCACGGCGAGTTTCGCAAGGTCTTCGACATATGGACCGGTTGACGGATGCTCACGGACTTTGAGGTTACCCTTGTTTGAAGGGTTGAGCAGATCGCGAACTCTTTCATTGTAGATTTCGAGGTAGGACACTTCGACTGTACAGTTGAGGTTCTTGTCTTCTTGCATCTTGGCTATGCGTTGGAACATCTCCTGGCAGATTCTCGGGATCACACCGTATTCCTTGCCATAACCCATCATCGAATACGACTTTCCGGAACCCGTCTGGCCGTATGCGAAGATACAGTTGTTGTAGCCTTGAAACGCATTATCCAGCAAAGGAACACCCAAATCCGCAAACAGATTATCTTGGCCCGCATAATTGGGAGCATTCTTGTCGAAAGACCAATACGACCTGTCAAAGGCGAAAGTCTTCGGCCCCTCCACCGCACCTTTTCCGCCAGCTTTTCGCGATTTCTCGTCAGCGCCGGGCGGTGGTATGAGGATGGTCTGGTTTCCTTTCATCTGCACGATACATTTTGCCCCTCTATCGATCTCTGTCGGCCAGTACCCAATCGGTCAGCGGACATTCACATCGGAGGACCGCGAGTTCTCACCTCTGCTATTGAACGGTCGCACTCTCACCACCACCTTAATGTTTCCGCCGCCTCCTGGAGCCATTTTGACTTACGCCCCATACACTCGGGGACCGCTATGCACCTCCAGTTGCCAAAGAGTCGAGTCCCAGGGGACGGGCGCAAGCGCCAGGGGTTGGGTAACACCGATGTCGCGACCGCCGCAAAGTGCGCTGTGTTCTGGAGAAATCGCAATAGGTGTTTCTCAGGGCCTCCTGGGACTGTAATGAAGCTGTTTGTAGTTTTTTGTTGGTGTTGTTCCGGTGGTTTCGAGATCCCAATTCAACATCAACAAAAGACGTCATGTAGTTTGTTTTCGGGCCGTCATATGCTGTTTCCAGGGGAATCTAGTCAATGGTTAATCGAGTCCGTAGGTCGTCAGTCTGCCATGTGCGCGCAACCCTTCGGTGCGAACTGTTTAGAAACGTGATTGACGCGAAGGCAGCAGAGAAGCGCGCTAGGACAATCGAGCTGAGATTGCCTGGGAGGCTCCGTGCTCTACACTGGGAGGTTGTATTATTATTTCCCAGCGGCACGGGGAACAGCCACATGAGACTCCGACCGAAAAGGCGGGATCGAGGGGTGCATTAGGTAAGCAGCCAATCAAATTGCACATCCCCCTCCATCCCCTTCTGCCCTCCCATGGACTCGCAGAACAAACGCAAGGTACGGAGTATCTACTATGGTACGTACCTTGCTTGGCTCTCCTCTCTGAACTGAGACATGCTTAAGATTAATCTAATCAAGATCTAGGATATTCTGGCCCATTGTATGTTACCCGGATTGCTAGTAGTTACCAAGGATCACCACATGACTTGAACGGAGCAACCGAATCGAATGGGACAGCGAGACTGTTCATATTAATTGAGATCAGCGATCATTAATAGCCCCAATCGGTTTACTCTGTTCATGTCCCTGAACAAGGTTTTCTGAGCGTAGCGTATCAAACGCGGTAGTATACGCGAAGTGTTGCGAGCTGTCTAATCGCCGCAGCTATAATGCAGGAGTAACGCCGAGTTTGGTATCTTCGATAACTCTGGTCTTCGAAAGCACAGCATTCTATCTTCTGATGAAAGGCTAACCACCTATGTCGCCGCCATCCATGGCTTCTTTGTCTCCTCAGTGATTAATTAGTGTAGATCTATGCAAGGGGTATTACATTTTAGATCTCATTGATGGCCAGGGGCCCGTCACATTTCTCACCAAATGATTGCGTCTTGCGCAAACCGGGTAACGACTTCTATAGCGAAGCTCTATTCAAGAGATAGGCCTTGGCACTCCAAGCGGATGAGCAGACATGGCTCTTCTGACTTGGTTTCAAGAGTCGGAAGTTCTTCCGGCGTCTCTCTGATTCTAGTATTGGTTTTGCATGGCAGCGAGAATGTGGCGAGGAGGAATTCGCTGAAGGGCGTGTCTTGTCGACTTCCGAGGCCTATCCACGGAAGGTGTTCAATTGTTCAGTGAGAAAATGATAGGATTTTCGCATGTAGATGGCGGTTTTATCATCACTCAAGTACAGCTGCGTCGACTTGCTGCACCGGGGCGATGCAAGAGTCATCAGGCTGTGATTTCAGCAGCAAAGGTGAGCGTCTCAATTCCCGATAGCACCATAAATAGTAGTCTCACAACTTAGGTCATCTGATCTCATAGTCCTGACGTATAGGAGACCGTACCTTGGCTAGGACATGCCACGTAGGGATGTTGGTCGAAGTTGGCATTCAAAAGGTCCTGACATATCAACCATGGCTCTTATAAAGGTTCCAGTTCAGTGTGCAATGAGACCTATGCGCTGACTTCGATATATAAGTTAGACGTGCAGCATACCTAACAGCAGCCTAGCATATATACTTACATTGAAGCATGGGCCCCATCACTGCGAGTCCTGTCGCTTTTAGTCTCAATCTGGCAAATTTTATAGATATTGGGATCGACGAGCTTATTCCATCGAAGGCCCTCACTCGCATGTTCAACGAGGCCCCTTCCGGATTGTTGAAGGCGTGTTCAACGTCCTGATTCAGGTCATATCGGCCATCATGTGTTCCATCCAGGCCTCTTCTACCGCTCTGGACTCCTCATCAGTCTCACAGAAGTTGGGAAATCCCAAATTTGTATATAGGGATATGTATTCCATGTACCAAGCTTAAGGGGTCGGCGAAGCCTAAGTCCAAGACGAATTGAAGGCTGGATCCGTAGGAGTAGAAGAGAGCTATGCTCTTTCATTGTCATTGTATGTTGAACCTGGTCACTATGTCCTAGCACTCTACTGTAAAGCAAGACGTACCGGTTAGCACTTGCGCAAAATTAGCGGGGAGAGATTGTACCAGTGTCGGTTCAGCACTGCTGCTAACTCTGGAAGATGTTCCGGACGAACTTGTTGAATGGGACTACGCCCTGACGTGGGTCGGCATTGAGACAGGGAAAGAGTATATTCTGCTCTCGTTCCAAAAGGCAGGACTGGGTGCGCTATGGGAGACGCGGGATCCAAGGAGTTTGCTGACACTGAGGCTTCGTACATGGTGGCGTTCCTGGAGGCAGTCAAGGCGAAGTATGGCGAGATGGAGATGTTGTGATGGATGTTATTGGTGTGAGTAAGGCTGTTGTCGAGACTCTTCGGGTTGTATTGAGAGAGGAGTCATGAAGTGACGACATCTGCTTCAGATCTCGTGGTAGTAGAGACTGGCTGTATACTCTGCTTTTGGAGTTAGTGTCTTCAAGTATTAAGGTTTTAAACGTTATGCCATATAGCCACACTATGCAGAATGTATCTTCACTTTGAACTTACAGAATGGATTCAGTGGGTATCTGCACCAAGAACCAGGATAAATTTTCCTGTTAGTGACCGCAGATATAACATAACAAGTCAGGGCAACCCAACCAATAGCTCCCACCAGGCCAGATGATCAATCAAAAAGATGTGATCATTTAATTCTGTTACTGCCTCTAATGAGAATCTTCTGGATATATGACGTAAAAGAGGAAGCATATTTGCAGATATTCCGATTCCAATGGATTGACAATCCATTTTCTACAGCAAAGATATCTAGCGGGGCATGTATGTATGCCCGTTGACGTGGTAGTTCTACTTAGTGCCCAACCTAGTAGTCTCAACCTGTCATATATGACAGTGTTCCCATCTCTGTGGAAGACATTGCGTATGGTCATCTCAAACGTAGAATTCATGACTTGCCTTCTTTCGGCTGGCTGTATGGTCTACTTGCTCTGTGTTTTCCTACGGACAAAGATCTCTTGCTTCCCTCAGTAGTGCAAAGATGTTCTAGGGGGTGGGAAACTGCTGCTGCGTCCATTGACCTATCTGAAAGTATGAACATCGTACGGAGGAATGCCGGATGAAAAGCAGAATCTGGATGGGACGGTAGAATGGTACAGGCCCCATTTATCTGCATCCCCAAAGACGATGTCAACAAGTTCTATTGGTAAACGACAACGTCATTGCAATCGGTTATTGCTACTTCTTCTACATTTGTCAATGGATAAAGGTTTTTTATGGGTCAGCCATCAAGGGGTGTCGAGGTCAAATTTGCCTCCCTTGAACCAGGCAGCAGAACTCACGCGAAGCTCGGAGATCAAGACTTCCAGTCATAGACGAGAGATAGGAACAGGATAGCTAGTCATGAAACAGCAACGATGACAAGGCAGGAACCAGTAGAGTTGGCCTAGAACATGATAACAACAGACGTCAGCTCCAGTATGGGGTTATGAGCGCTTCCAGAAGAGCCAGGATGCCCCGTCACAGCTGTATGGCCAATGATACACTGCACTTCTGTGATGCCTCACTGTGTGAGCTGGCGTATCAGGACGTAAGCACTCATCTTGAGTGTCTGATTGGGCGTGTTTGGATGGGGCGAGATTGGACACCCCCCGTTTCGTGCATGCACAACGCCCACCAGCTAACTCTGTCGAGTCCCTGGATAAAATTCATACGAGCAAGACATATCGGCGTATCATGATATCAACTGTGCCTTGCTAGTCGTATTCCTGTCATGCAAGGCAAATTCGGCGTCAGATGAGGACCTTGACCTGGCCATTGGTCGCCTAATGTCCGCGCTTTGCGACTGGCTTGTCCTGGGCTTCATTGAGCACGCTAGACAGCGCCGGTAGCTTATATTCTTGTCATTTGGTTTGAGTCGTGACTGGAGTGCCTTTTGGTTTGGCACTTATACCTTGTATGAAAATCATACCGAAGGATTTTCTAGTGAAAAGTGCATCTTGACCCGCGGTAAAAAGTGCAAGCCACGCTGATATGACAAGGTAGCCATTGTCCAGTTTCGCCCTTACACTTCTCGAACGGCGCATCGAACAAAACAGTGATGGTTCATGTAAAACTGCTTTATGAACCAGAATGAGTCCAATTCTTTTTAGTGCACATGCTTCGGCTAGCTAGGATATTTCAGGCTTCTGACAGGTGAGTGTCTGGTGTGATCATCTCCTTCACACCCTCGAAAGAGAAGCCGCGACATTGACGGAATGTATGGATCTCGGTGACACAGAAGTTGAGTCCACTATACGCGTTTCTCCCAATAGTACTTAGGGTCAAGATGTCTTTGAAACATGGAAGTGTCATGTGTCCTGTGACTTATTGGCTTGTCGATGCGTTGGGTGCCAGATGCCTTATGCCTTGCATTAAGCACAATTGCTCCTCCAGAAATGCAGAAACGTTATATGAATCCTGCAGCAAATACGCACCTCGTCTGCAAAGCCAGAAAAAGAATATTGACGCTGGGAAGGTAGCTGTGAACTATAAGCCTGTGGATGCGATATATATGTTTGCACTTTGGACCTTACAGACTGAGGAAGAACATGTACCCGCGTAGCATCTTAGATTGACTATCCTCATGCATCACCGATGAGCCTTTTGGATCTATGAGCAAGTTCACCTCGAGTTTTCTATCCAGTCTCATACTAGAGCTCAATCCCGACGGTCATTTCCTTTGTTGATACTGGCGAGGAGAGGCTGGAGAGGCTGGAGAGGCGGTGTAGGATGCTGTTTGAACTCGCGCCCGCCTGACGTCAGGGTGGCCTGAGCTT